TGAGGGAGGTGAGGGTTCTGAGGGAGACAGAAGAAGGGTTGGAAGAATGAAGGAGAAGGGAGAGTATAAAAGTGTATTAAGGAGAGAAGTGGGGGGGGGGGTGGAGTAGAAGGACAGGAACTGATGTATGATTAATAACCATGATTATAGTAAACTTATTTAGTTTATTGCATGATGATATAGATATATTATAAACCAATACATTCTTGGACAATTTTATTTAGTTTAACATGTTTTCATGTCGATAAGTTCTTTAAGTACTAGAAGTCAATCAAGTCATTCAAGTTATTTAACTTATTAAAGTCATTTATGTCATTCAAGTCATTCAAGTCATACAAGTTATAGACGTCTTTAGAAGACATTAAAGTTATTCAAGTCATACAAGTCCTTCCAGTCATTTCAGTCATTAAAGCTATTCAAGTCATACTAGTCATTCAAGTCATTTCAGCCGATCAACTTATCAAAGTCATCCATTTCGTTCAAGTTATTAAAAATTTAAAAAATTTAAAAAATCTTTTTAATTGTGTGTAATGATTTATTTTGTTATAGGAAGAGGAACTGTTCTACGGATTTGAGGAGAACAGTTCCCACGAGGTAAAATTTAGTGTTGAAAAAAAACTGTACATTTTTTTTGTAGGAAATTGTTTGCATGGTAATATGGGAAGTGGGAACACTATTTTATAAAAAAAATAAATCGACATTTTAAGAAAAGTAGAAATACTAGATATTCTAGGGTTGGATACTACTAGTTAATGGGTTCTACACCCTATTGAATACTAGATATTCTAGAGTAGGGTTGGATACTACTAGTTAATATATCTAGGTTCTACACCCTACTGAGTCCTTGATAAACCCTGAGGAAGCTAAGGTGGGATACTACTAGTTAATATATCTAGGTTCTACACCCTACTGAGTCCCTGATAGACCCTGAGGGAGCTAAGGTGGGATACTACTATTTAATATATCTAGGTTCTACACCCTACTGAGTCCTTGATAGACCCTGAGGAAGGCGGGATACTTCTAGTTAATATATCTAGGTTCTACACCCTACTGAGTCCTTGATAGACCCTGAGGAAGGCGGGATACTTCTAGTTAATATATCTAGGTTCTACACCCTACTGAGTCCTTGATAGACCCTGAGGAAGGTGGGATACTACTAGTTAATATATCTAGGTTCTACACCCTACTGAGTCCTTGATAGACCCTGAGGAAGGCGGGATACTTCTTGTTGTTCTCCTTCTATGGATTGGATCTATAGCGCTGTTTATAAACAGGTAATTGGGGAATATTTTTCCAGATTTAAATACCTCCCTCCCCCCCCCTCACTATCATATCTTAATATTATAAAGTAGCAATATCTGTTTTTTGTTGTTTGTATGTCCGATCATAGCTTAGGAACCCCTTGACCGATTTGCCACAAATTTTGGCAAACTCGAAAGAACCATAAGAATGTTCTAACCTGGGTTTAGAGATTCTAAGTTCAGTGGGTTCACTTTTTTAGGGAAAGTACAGTTTTTAGGTAAAGCTGGGTTTTCAAGCTTTAGTTTGGGATAAGTTAAGTTAGGTTAACCAAACTCATGGGCCGTGAATAGGGCAGGCAAGGGTGCCGAGCGCTGCGGCCCATAGTTAGTTAGATTTGTTAAGACAGTTTTTTACGAAATGAATGATTTCTAAGTTCTCATATTAAAAAAAAATTTTGATGAAAAAATCTAGAATCGAGAAGATTCTATTTGTTTTATTTTAATACCAATATTTAATAAATCAAGTTTGTCATAATCAGATTCCATAGTTCCTAGAAGTCACCCCTGATTAAAAAATTTTGAATGAATTTTGAATATATGAAAAAAAAATGGTGGAGTGTTTCTAAATACTTGATTACATTTTGAATTCGTTTTTCTGAATGAAAAGTTAGAAAAAATATCTAGGGAATTAAATCGAAATCATTTCAAATACAGATAATATTCATTTTTGGGAAACCTCTAAACTTTAAATCTGATTTATGGCTATATATAAACTAGTGATCTCTGATTGTTTGTTTGGTCATTTGATCATAAATCAGGATCCCCTGGACCGTTTTGTCTCATATTTTGATAAGGGAACACGGTAAAACCACTGAAGATTGGTTTAAACAGTTGAATGGGTTGAATGGGTTGGATGGGTTGAATGGGTTGAATGGGTGAATGGATTGAATGGGTTGAATGGGTTGAATGGGTTGAATGGGTTGAATGGGTTGAATGGGTTGAATGGGTTGAATGGGTTGACCGCTGGGCTGGGCTGACCCTAGTTGAAAAATAACAAGAAAATCAATTTGCTAATTTACACTTTTTTAAGCTTAGGGGTTTTTAAGCTGAGGGGTTTTTAAGCTGAGGGGTTTTTAAGCTGAGGGGTTTTTAAGCTGAGGGGTTTTTAAGCTTAGGGGTTTTTAAGCTTAGGGGTTTTTAAGCTTAGGGGTTTTTAAGCTTAGGGGTTTTTAAGCTTAGGGGTTTTTAAGCTTAGGGGTTTTTAAGCTTAGGGGTTTTTAAGCTTAGGGGTTTTTAAGCTTAGGGGTTTTTAAGCTTAGGGGTTTTTAAGCTTAGGGGTTTTTAAGCTTAGGGGTTTTTAAGCTTAGGGGTTTTTAAGCTTAGGGGTTTTTAAGCTTAGGGGTTTTTAAGCTTAGGGGTTTTTAAGCTTAGGGGTTTTTAAGCTTAGGGGTTTTTAAGCTTAGGGGTTTTTAAGCTTAGGGGTTTTTAAGCTTAGGGGTTTTTAAGCTTAGGGGTTTTTAAGCTTAGGGGTTTTTAAGCTTAGGGGTTTTTAAGCTTAGGGGTTTTTAAGCTTAGGGGTTTTTAAGCTTAGGGGTTTTTAAGCTTAGGGGTTTTTAAGCTTAGGGGTTTTTAAGCTTAGGGGTTTTTAAGCTTAGGGGTTTTTAAGCTTAGGGGTTTTTAAGCTTAGGGGTTTTTAAGCTTAGGGGTTTTTAAGCTTAGGGGTTTTTAAGCTTAGGGGTTTTTAAGCTTAGGGGTTTTTAAGCTTAGGGGTTTTTAAGCTTAGGGGTTTTTAAGCTTAGGGGTTTTTAAGCTTAGGGGTTTTTAAGCTGAGGGGTTTTTTAGAATTTTTAAATAAAACATTTTCAGGTTTGTGACAATAATACTTTTTTTGGGTCATTGTGCAGGTCTTAGAAAAAAAGCAATTATGTAGTTAATTTAGCAGATTTGACATATCTATTAAAAACTAGTCGCAAATAAAGTTTTATTTATTAGTTGGTAATTTTCAAATTAATTTGGCTTTTCTGTCTGTTTGTTTGTTTCCAATAAACGTCAAAACGGCAAAACCGGTCGGGCCCAATTTTTTTGTGGCAACACACATATTCCCAGAGGTTTAAAGCTGGTCTAAATTAAAAAATTGAGGCAGAAAAAAATGGCGATTTTTAAAATTTTTTAAATATGCATTGATATTAATAAAAAGTTCCTGTAAATTTAATTATTTTAAATTGCGAAGATAAAATGGCAGCTATATTTAATTTGTTACACGAAGAAAGTTTCTATATTTGTGTACTGTGCAGGGTTGTTAAACTTATTTATTAGAAAATATCTCATGATACCTAGAAGCAAGCCTCAGAGCCCTCTCTTACATATAATTTGTATAAAATATGTATTAGAAAACGGAACCATGTGTTGTATAAATAATTAATACCTATAACCTAGTCGCCTGATTAATATGTCTCTACATCGGTTATTTTTCCCATTTATTATATTTAAGGGACTGTACAAGTAAGTTCAAGTGACTCTCGGTTGAAAGAGTCACAAAGCCCGATTTTTATCATAAAAAGAGATTTCTTTGTTAAGTTTATTTCTTCCTTGTTTCTGATGTACATTCTGCAAACCACGTAGATTGAGAAGTCTTCAAATCACTTTATCTTTGCAACCTGATGTCATAGATCTTGATATATGAGATAAAATAGTTTTCTAAAATATTCAAAAAAAATATTTGATGGTGCAAAAAAAAAAAATTTTTTGGGAAAAGTTTAATCTATTTTACAAATGGCTAGTCCTATTAAGTGTCTGCTTTATTTACCCAATGTCCGGGCGATACAGTACAAACTGGGTCAGAAATTCAAATGTACTACGGCTGCCCGTGGCTGAACCGTTTGAGCCAAATTTTTTGTGGAAACTCACATGACCCCAGAGAAGTGGAAGAATTGACTTTTATGATTTTCAAAAATCCTCAATCTAAGAAGAAAAATTCGCCAAAATATTGTTTTTTGGAGTACAATGAAAAATGGCGACTTAAAATCAATTAAAAGCTAGAGAAATTCAGCCTTGACCACAAACTTTAATTTCATATTCCATATTCTTTGCAATCCAATGTCCAATTCAAACTTTAAATTTTTTAGATCAAAATATCTAAGTTTAAATTATCAAAGGTTTGCAACATCAAATTGCAAAGATATGGGGATTAGAAAATTCGAGTTTGTGTCAAAAAGCCAAAGAGCAAAAATCCTTAATTAGAACATAACAAAATAAATGTTTGTTTTTTTACAATTTTCATGTTCTCTTTATCTTTAGTCTGCTTAGTTTTTTTATTTTGTGTTTATTAAACCATATCCTTTTGTCACTTTTTTTAACAAACTGAATTCATGGAATTCATAATATTATGAATAGCAACAAACCTTTTCTATCGGTAATTCATAATTTTCTTAGAAAGTTTGCAGGAAAATATATTCCAGTCTTTTACTTTTGTTACTTATATGCCGAGTCCATCAGCGCCTGATCCAATCAGGGTTCAGCCATATGTCGGGTGTCTATTCTGAACCTGTAGAAATTGCATGGCGGTAATATCTATCTCTCTATCTAGCTCATTATCCAATCAGAGATAAATCCTTACATCGGCGCCATACCAGTAGATGGAAATATTTACATCTTCTGGAACTATAGTGAGCTTTACAACGTATATGGTTACTCTATATTAGTGATTTATATTGCAGAACACAATGAAGAATGTTATCATTCAGTTTTGCATTTTTTCCTGAACCTTTTTTTTAAACCTTCATTTTATACCTTTTTCAGGTGGAGTAAATTTAGTCGTCTGGAGCCACATTTACCATTCTATCAACCAGAGCCCCCTATACTTCAGGACATAGGAGATCATAGGTATCATCATCATCATCATCATCATCATCATCATCATCATCATCATCATCATCATCATCATCATCATCATCATCATAATCATCATTATTATCATCATTATCATCATCATCATCATCATCATCATCATAATCATCATAACAATCCTCATCATCATCATCATCATCATAAATTTTGCTTTTTATTTTTCTTTTTTCCTCAATATTCCCTAAAATCGTTAAATTCAATTTCACTTAAAAGACAATTTATAAATTTTCTCGAGTTTTCAGTTTAAGTGAATAATTTCACCCTTTCAGAGAGTTGGAGAAAGTTTAAATAACTTTTCTACTCAGACTTCCTATAATCTTTATGCAGGGGTAATCATGAGAGGATATCGTTTGATATATTTCGACATATACCTCTGACATTATAGATATTTTTATGTTCTAATTTCAGGAAAAATAGATTAGTTTTTAAAAAGAATTTGATTATTTCATGCATGCGTTGGAATAAATCCAAATATTTTTGAACAAATAAAGATATTTTTGATAATATCTTTCTGATAGCACTATTTCTTCAATAATAGAAAAAAATAAAGGAAAAACACCTTTTTTATTAAATTTCAAATGTTCAGATCCAGTTTGATATCCGAGTGTACATTGTATCAGACTAGGCGAATGTCTAGGTTAGTTATTTCCTGGATTTGTACGTATTTTTTTTAAAGAAGAAAACTTTCCAAAAGTTACAGACACAGTCAACGGGGTTTATTGTCTAAATTTTAACTATAAAATTCACAATTATTAGATCTCTATGGACAAAAAGAGATTACACCATCAGATTAAAAAAATGCCTGAATATAAAATTCGAGTGTGAGGCGATAAATTCATAAATTTTACACCCTCCAATGGATGAAGAAAAGCCCCCCCCCCCCACTGTAAAAGAGTTATGATATATCATATAAAGCAGATCCATGGAGTGTTAAATCCTAAAAGCCAGGGAAACATAAACACAAATTTCCTAAACGTGATTTTATGTAAGCACAGATCTCATCTTTAACACTTTTATTTACATAATAATGTTTGAGCTGTTTTTTGATGTAGTTTATTCTAGGTTAAAGTTTCCACCTTTATGTTGATATTACTAAGTGTGTAGAGAACCTAATATAGGATTCTATATTGAACCTTTTTCAATATAATCTATACAGTAACCTGAACACTGTATATTTTCCTACAATCTCTACATAAATATACGAGGAGGGAAAAAAGCTGGGGAAAAAGCAAGGGGGGATGGATTGGGTAAACAAGAGTAAAATATATATATGTTATACTTCAAGGGACTGTAAATGAAAAATATCTCGGACTCAGTTTATCAATTACCCGAGACAGGAACATCAGATAGAACTGATATTGGTCGCAATCAATTCCTAAAATTTTAAGCCTTTAGCCTATACCCTTCATTTTACCCTAACAGTCCCTTTAAATGAATGTTTTGTGCAGGGTATCACAGATGGCGTATGAGCAGCATCGAATCAAGTACAGTAAACAAGCTACAAATAAACAGATAAACAGGTTCCAGACCAAATATACACGAAGAAAATCTAGTCCTTTGCCTGATGTATCAGCATTAATCAAAGATGGTGGTTCTAACAGACGGCAATCCATTGCCCACATATACTCTGGAAATCCAAATAGAGTCCGCACAAGTGTAGTTCCAGTTTCTACCGCCAGGAAACAAAGTGCGCACAACGGAAACGCGTCCATGTTGTGTGAAACGAAGAGAAGCAATTCTATGGGGAACTTTAAATCATTTCTGCATCAGAAAAAATCGCATAGTTTTGCTGATATTCTACTGGAGGTTGCTGAGGTTTAGCTACCTTTAGTCCATGGAGTAATAAAGGTGGGGCCAGGTGTCGGGGGATATTTGGGAATAAAATAAAATACAGGGTGTCTCCAAAAGCATGCACATCCTAGTTCGATTTTTGTTTCAAACATTTTCTACATCTACATTTACGCAACGTTTCCAAAAGATGAAAACTAATAAGAGAAGTCTGCAGCACAAATATTAAAGAAGTCTTGACAGATTGAAGTTTGTCATTTTGGTTTGGTTGAAAATTTTATATTGACAATGATTATTGAGATAATTAATATTAAAAGTAAAAGAAAAACTTGATTGCAAATAACCTAAGTTTTAAATATTTAAGGCGTACACCATCAGGTTGCAAAGATATAGGGATAAGAATATTCTATCTTTTCCTAAACCAATAGAACCATGGGCAAAGTGGCCAACTACGAACTGACAGCACTGCTACAGTCTACAGACCTGTTTTTTATGTCCATAGATTTAAAATGTTACGTAGATTTCCAAAAAGATTTGTATTTACAACAACATACAAATCAAATAATGATGATGGCCAAAGTACCTAAAAGAGCGATTTTTTTCGGAACCCCGGTATACTTATTCTTATATGAACAAATCAAAAGTATATTCATTGTGCTCAGCTTTATCAATCAAAGTGAATCGATTTAATGTTTTTATGTTAAAATTATACGTATTTTTTATATATGTAACAAGATAACAACAGAGAGTTTTAAATAAAGTAAAATAAAGAAAAGATAAGTTTTTTTATTTCATTAAATCCACATGTACCCAAACATATGAACTTTAATCAGAGGCTAATAGAGCGGAAGGTCCTTACGGGATCTAATAATAATAATTAATTCCTTAAAACAAGGGTTTAAGAAAAATTAACCTTAGGTATTTTACTGAAGGAGGTAAGGAGGATAGGTTTTGTGTACATGTTACAGGGTGTCGCACATCATTATTAATTGCGATATTCGGGACAAATCAGAAGATTCAAATAGATTAAACTATTTTAAAAAATTGTGTACTGCTTAAACAAATTTGCAGGTAGATAATACTAATTTTTTTCAAATATTATGTGCGTATTTTGGCTTTAAATCTTGGTGATAATCCGATATGACATGGGACGCTCTGTAGTTTAAGATTTCTATCCTAGCACTTTGTTTTTGCTTTGATAACACTACAGTGATAACCAGAAAACAATGGAATAGAAAGACGACATTTTAGAAATACTTTAGCGTTCGGATGTTGTTACAAAGCAAATATTTTTTTAGTAACTTAGCAAAGCACAATCTAAGTGAAAAGGGTCTATTTACACTGTACAATTGCTATGTCTAATGTTCATTGAACTAGTTAAAGTCCTAACTTGAGTTTAAAAGTCGTATTCCTATTTCAGAGTTTTCTGGTTATCACTGTAGTTCCATAAAATGAATCAAATGGTACTATTTTATTTCTCTGATGTTTAAGAGAATGTGATGTAAACCTCAAAATGCTCCAATCTACCTCTATAAAATAAATCAAAGTATTTTAAACATTGGTCACATAAATTGTAAATAGCAGCTGATGTAAAATAGTTAAATTTAATAAACTAAAAGTATTACAAATAATAAAATGTTAAAATCATGCATAAATACGTGTAGTAGATTTAAGGTTACCCACAAAGGATTAGACTTTAAAGACAACCTTAAACTCATATAATATTGCGATCTAATGGTTGAATTTAATCGTCTGTTTTATATATGCATAGAAAAATGTTTACTGCAGAGGATCAAATTCTTATAAAAACAGGCACTTTAATTTTCGTAATGTCGTCTCTGAAATCTCATTCTTAATGGGTAATCCTGTATCTGACGAATCTATGTGAGAAAGTCACAGGAAAAAAATTTGGAAATAAAAACTTCAATAAAAAAATCCAAATTTTCTGAAGTCCCAGGACAAAATGTCACTGTAAATAAAGTCCTGAGTTTTAGATTCCCAGGGGATTTTTTCCCTAAAATACTATGAAGACTGCCAATGAAGTCTTAGGAAATAAGATCACAAAATTAAAGTCCTGAAGAAATTATATCCGAAAAAAAAGTGCTAAGTCTTGGGAAAATGAGTTTCATTCTTAGACGTTTTCTTCTATGCATCTGCATATTGAATTTAGCCAGGGGTGTTTTTAAAATCAAGTCCATTTTTTCCATGGTTGTAAACATCCTATGTTCCCATGCATTTTCTACTAAAAAAGGACTTTTTTGTATAAGATCATACTGGAACCAGAAAAAAGTCCCAGAAAATAAAGTATTTATTTTCATACAGCTGACATTTTTTTAGTGCCAAAATTTAGGACTTTTTCAGGAAATTTTTTTTGCGGTTACCGTATCTGACGTACTGCAAGTTCTAAGAAGAATGTAAACAAACTCAGTACATTTGAATTTCCGAGCCGGGTCAACCTTTCCGGTCCCAGTGTGTACAGTACCTAGCTCTATGGACTGGACTAGCCGTTGCAACAAGGTTGACGCGGTCAGACTTTATGCTTCATATAGGTTGAATTTACTTTTACCAAAGGGACAGATTCGCGTGAATTAGATATTTCAAATCTGGGAGGGAGTCCTGCTATATGAGAGTCGACTAAAAGATGTCCAAGACTATGTATGAAATTCTTAAAAACTCCCAAGCTGCGGTGGCAAAGGAACTTTACTATTCAACTTAAAATTTGTTTGGAATTAAATTGATTTTTTTACGATCCGAGTCGAATGTTGCAACTTTCTGAATTTGTATGGTATGATGCTATACGTTCTTCTGTATAAGTCGTTTTTAACAGTTTTCTCCTTGTAGACAGATAGAAGTAAGACTAGTATCGATCACGATCAGTAATTTTTCGCCGTAAGCCTATACCCCCTTTCATTTTTCGCGAACACTCCCTTTAAGTTAAAATAAGAGAACATTCTCTTGAAGAAATTTTAAGTTCTTTGATTAGAAACTATCAGTTCCTCTCAATGTGCCCAGGATCATATGTTGGTTGTAGCTTATTTATTTTCTTATTATGTCAATTTGGTACAATATATACATACAGGGTGTCCCAAAAAGGATGAGACTGTAAATACGACCAAAAACTCTAAAAGTGTGATTATTTTTGGTTTCTGCATTTCATCCAATTGTTTATTTTGATGGTTTACTAAATGATTAAGCACAGAAATCTACCAGTTTTGGCCTATCCAAGGAACCCTGAATGTGATAAACTCATCTGTGCATGGAGGGTCACTTGAAGTTGAAATTACGCTTACAGTCCCTTTAATCAATAATTTCAGTTTGGTAAAAAAATAAGTATAAACGTTCTCTTAATCATCACCTTTTTCTAACGCGGAAGAAGTGAAATTGCGCAAAACAGAGTTCCGAAAAAGCAATAAAAGGTGCAATTTTGCGCAAAATGACATTTGCGAATGATTGTGCAATTTACTGTTTATTAACTCAAAAGTGTTAAGCAATGAAAGTAATATTTTTCGTCTCATCTTGCAAAAATTGCGCAAAATTGAAACCCAACCTCTGAAGTCTTGTCCTATATTATCTTAAATAATTTTTAATGAATCAATATTTTTTATAATATCTGAGGTGTGACGATCCAATATGATGTGGGCACCCTGTATGTTCCTCTAGGGATTATCCCTCTATATACCTAATATAATATAATCCTAACTATACAGAATAAATGAGTCTGCATGCTACGTAAACAAAACCTTACTGCACATACAGGGTGTCCCAATAAACATAAGATTTGAGTGAAGACTTCATGATGTAAACAAGACCTTACTATACATACAGGGTGTCCCAATAAACATAAGATTTGAGTGAAAACTTCATGATGNGTACCTCTATCTATCTACTTTACCGTTCTTATCATATTTTGTATTATAGCTCTATCTTTAGTTTTGTTACCTGGCCGGTCATACCGGCCCGAATAGTCATATTAATAAATAAATCAGTTGAATACGGACTTTTGTTCAGTATAGACGGAATCAGTCTGGAAAGGCTGATTATTAGAGTTAGATGCGGTTTAGCCATAGAGCAGTCAGGGTTGACCGATAGTTAGAGTTTGAGGCAGTTAGCCATACAGCAGTCGGGATTGACTGATAGTAAAAGCTGAAGGCAGTTTAGCATACAGCAGTCGGGATTGACTGATAGTTAGAGTTTGAGGCAGTTTAGCCATAAAGATTAAGTGAGGAGAGACGGGTTAGATAGTTACATTACTATACATGCAGGGTGTCCCAATAAACATGGTATTTGAGTGAAGCCTTCATGAAGTAAGCAAGACCTTGCTATCCATAAAAAACATGGTATTTGAGTGAAGAATTCATCATCGTCTTTATCATTGTAATAGCTCACAAAGAAATCTCCCTAGAAGGGCCTGATTCATTTGGTGTACAGTCCCGTTTAGCTTTATTTAGTTTGAATGCGCACTGTACAGCTTGCTCTAGCTGCTTAAAAGTCGTCCCGGTACGGGGTTTGAAGTGATCTTAGGTTACAATAAAGTTATGTCTTCTAAATGATATTTTATGTGAAAGCTAAAAGTATATTTTGTTATTCTTCAAAGCCTTGTATGTGTATGTAACATTTCTGCAAGAGGTGTACTATGAAAAGAGGTGTACTATGAAAAGGGACAATTGTACAGTAATTTTCATTTTAGTACAACATTTTGAAATCAAAACTTTTAAAAAAAACACCTTCTAAACTCTAGCAGACGAAACATTATTATAAAAAGTATTATAACTTTCCTGGCAGACATCATATCATAATCTTAATAAAAGTTTTTTTGCAAATACGATCGAATCATCACTACATATAGGACTGTATAGTCTGTAAGCGTTATTTTAAGTGACCATCCATGCAAAGATAGCAATGCCCGATTTATAATGGTACCCTTGAAACCTTGATCAAACTGTTGAAGAACGTCGTTTTCCTGACTCGAAAAGTGTTTATTTCTGTGACCTTCTCCATTGTTCCTCATAAGCAAGAAATGTGCAAGTCACTTTTGCAGAAAAACCACAAATGAAAATAAGCAAAACTACAAATATCTAATTCATACTTGATCAGACAAAGCTGTTAAGGGTACCGTTTTAAATTGTGCCTTGTCACCTTTGCATGGAGGGTCACTTGAAATTACGCTCACAATCCCTTTAATTTCCATGTTTATTGGAACACCCTGTAAACCGCAGTGTGCTTACTATGTATACCAAAGATAAATATGCACGGAACATGAATAAATAATAAACACAATTTAACTTGTTTGGATTTAACAAACTATGTTTTCATTAAAGGGACTGTACAGGTTATT